GCCTGGCCATTCCCTGTTTTCCAGAGCCCGGCGGTTCCGTGTGTGTGTTCCCGGCATTCCCAAGGCTCCCTGGGCCCAGGGACACAGGGCCAGGCTTTGTCCAGGGTTTCCTTGGGAAGCTGATCCGGCGTCACGTGGTGCCGGGAAGCGCCGAGGCCGCTCGGACACGGGGAAGGGGCTCTGGGCAGGGGGGGTTTAAACCCGGCTTAACCCCCCTGGAACCGGGAAAGGAGCCGGGAAAGGAGCTGGGAAAGGAGCCGGGAAAGGAGCTGCCAAAGCCTCCCCGGGGTCAGGGAAGGGAACAGGAAAAGCAGCTTTTAAAAATAGCCAGGCCTTGGAATAGTCCCGGCCTCGGGAATTCGCTCCGGGGGCTCTTCCAGGGATCAGCCCCGGGCCGGGCTCAGCCTCTCCCGGGCTTTGCTTTTCCCGCTGATCCCGGGATTAAAACCCCCGGAGCCACAGGGAAGCACTTTGAGGGTTCTCTGGGTGAGTGTGGCCATTCCCTGCTCCCGCCAAATCCTGGGAAGAGCAACCCCGGAGCTTCCCTGTGGGAGCAGCTCCCGTGGGAAAAACGTGGGGCCCCCCCGAGGGGTTTTCCGGGTTTTTTTCCAGGGGTGGGATCCTTGGGATGTGGTGTGGGATGGGCACGGGGAGGGGGGGGGAGAGGGGTTGTCCCTGATCCCTGTGGGAGGGAGGAGCAGCTGGAGCTGCTGGAATGTTTGGGGGGGGGTTGGAGCAAAAGGAGGAGACTGGGAGAGGGAAGGGAAGGAAAAAGGGAAAGGAAAGGAAAGGGGAAAGGAAAAGTTTGGGAAGGAAAGGTTTGGGAAGGTTTAGAAAGGTTTGGGAAGGGAAGGAAAGGAAAGGAAAAAGGGAAGTAAAGGAAAAAGGGAAGGAAAAAGGGAAGGAAAGGAAAAAGGGAAGGAAAACAGCCTTTCCTGGGAAAAGGGAAAGAGCCCTGTGCTGTGTTTGGGGTCTCTGTCCCAAACCCAGGGATTGAGCAGGTGGATAAATCCAGGTTTTAGCAGCCTTGGAGCTTTTCCTGAGGGATAAATGAGGAAAAGGGCCCGAAAAGGAGCAGTTTGGGTTCAGTGTTTGGTGTCACCTCAGTCCTGGGGGCTCCTGGGAGGGGATCCCTGAGCTGGATCCATGTGGGATCCGTGTCCTGGGATGCTGAACTGGGACCAGGGTCACTCCTCAATCCTGGATTTGGCGGGAACGCCGCTGGAAGTGGAACCTCCCATTCCCTGGGCTTGTTTTTCCAAAGCCTGTGGGTTTTTTTATTGGCTCTCCTGGAAGGCACAAACCTTCCAACCTGGGAGGCTCCTCTTCCTGCCAGGATCTGACTCCAGAGCTCGGGGTTAAACAGGGAATCCCCATCCCTGCTCCTGGTTTTTTGGGATGCGGCAGCAGGGGCAGATTCCCAAATCCCTGGGCCTGGCACTCCAGTTTTGTGGGAAGAGGGGCTGGATTGGGCACAGATAAGCTCAGTTCCAAGGCCTGAGTGTGGCAATTCCTGACTTCAGGAGGTCTGAACAGCTTTGGGATTTGGGGCTTCTTTTGGGAGAAGCCAGGATTTGTTGGGTCCTGGAAGGCACAAACCTTCCAACCTGGGAGGCTCCTCTTCCTGCCAGGATCTGACTCCAGAGCTCGGGGTTAAACAGGGAATCTCCGTCCCTGCTCCTGGTTTTTTGGGATGTGGCAGCAGGGACAGATTCCAGCTTTGGATTGGGGTGGATGAGCTCAGTTCCAAGGCCTGAGTGTGGCAATTCCTGACTTCAGGAAGCCTGAGCAGCTTTGGGATTTGGGGCTTAGAGGGTGGGAGAAGCCAGGATGTGCCGGGATTTGCATCCCTAACACCCCATTCCCCTTTTTCCCCCCCCCCATCCCAGCCTCTCCCCCGCGCCCACCATGGGGGACATGAAGACCCCGGACTTCGACGACCTCCTGGCCGCCTTCGACATCCCCGACATCGACGCCAACGAGGCGATCCACGCCGGGCACGAGGAGCCCGAGCCACCCCTCAAACCCGGCCCGGGGGACTCGGGCACCGGGGGGGCACCGCCCCCCGAGCACGTCCTGCCCCACCCCGACATCTCGGCCGTCAGCGTCATCGTCAAGAACACGGGGTGCCCCGAGCAGCTGGAGCCGCTGGACGGCCGCGGGAAGGACGGACACGGGATGGCGGGAGGGCACGGGATGGGCGGGACACCGGGACACGGGATGGGCGGGACACCGGGACACGGGATGGGCGGGACACCGGGACATGGGATGGGCGGGACACCGGGACATGGGATGGGGGCTCGGCTGCTCCACAACGGATTTGGTGCCGCTGCCGACGCGCCGCGATCGCCCGGGCACAGGGCGGGGGAGTCGGCGGCCAACGGGGAGTGCTGGGCCAAGGAGAAGGGCCCCAAGGCCTTGGATCTCTTCTCCCACTTCAGCCCCGAGCCCGGCGAGGATCCCGCCCTGCTGGACAGAGCCCGGGAGGGCAAAGGCAAGGAGAAGGCGCTGGCGGTGCCCTGCCTGTCGCCCTCCCCGACCACGCCGGGCCTGGACTGCAAGGAGGGTTCAGGGGAGCTGCCCTCGGCCTTCCCGCAGCCCTTCGAGCCCAACCAGGCCGGCGGCACCGACGGGTCCCGCCCCGGCCCCGCCATCAAAAAGGAGGAATCCGACTCGGAGGAGCTGCCGGGGCGCCAGCCCAGCCCCAAGGGTTTGGGGACAGCCCTCGGGGACAGCCCCCTGGAGCACCTCAAGTCCGTCACCGTGCGTTATTCCGCCGAGGATTCGCCCCTCCCTCCCTGGCCGGGCTCGGAGGCCGCCCTGGGCGAGGCCGGGAGCGCCGCCGAGGGGAAACACTCGCCCCGCGGCAGCCCCAGGGAGCCCTTCTTCAAACCCCCGTCCCCCGGGCTGGCCCCGTCCCCAAAGGACGGGCTCTCCCTCAAGGAGGAGCAGGAAGGGCTGGATAAATCCACGGGGAGCCCGCAGAGCATGTCCAGCGCCGAGGAGGAGGAGGAGGAGGACGAAGAGGAGGAGGAGGAGGAGGAGAACAACAACGACTCGCCTTCCTCCGGCTCCTCGCGGCCGCTCAAGGTGAGGATCAAAACCATCAAGACCTCCTGCGGCAGCATCACCAGGACGGTCACCAGGGTGTCCTCGGACTCGGAGCCGGGCTCCACCAAAGGCCCGGGGGGCGAGCAGAGCTCCCGGGAGCCCTCCCTGGAGGGCACGAAGGAGGACGGGATCCCAGAGCCGCCCCCCAAGGACAAAGCGGAGCTGGGCAGCCCCTCGAAGGCGGCGGAAGGGCCCAAGATCGTCAGCGTCCAGCTGGGCAACGGCACGAAGCTGCAGGGCACGGTGCTGCCCGTGTCCACCATCCAGAGCGCCAGCAGCGCCATGCTCATCGCCGCCAGCGTGGCGCAGCAGAAGTCCGTGGTGCTGCCCGCCAAGCCCGGCAAGGCCGTGGCCAAGAACATCATCAACCTGGTGCCGCAGAGCCTGCCCAGGGTGGACGGCAGGGCCGGCGCCGGTGCCGCCCCCGCGGCGCCGGGCGGGCAGAAGGTGAACGGCGCCGCGGTGGTGATGGTGCAGCCGCCGAAGCCGCCGCCCGCCGTGGCCGGCACCGTCATCTCCCGCAGCCAGTCGAGCCTGGTGGAGGCCTTCAACAAGATCCTCAACAGCAAGAACCTGCTGCCCACCTACAAGCCCAACCTGAGCCCGCCCGCCGACGCCAGCCTGGCGCTGCCGCCCTTCGGCTACCGCTGCCTGGAGTGCGGCGACGCCTTCGCCCTGGAGAAGAGCCTGGCGCGGCACTACGACCGGCGCAGCATGAGGATCGAGGTCACCTGCAACCACTGCACCAAGCGCCTGGTGTTCTTCAACAAGTGCAGCCTCCTCCTGCACGCCCGCGAGCACAAGGACAAGGGGCTGGTCATGCAGTGCTCCCACCTGGTCATGCGCCCCATCGCCCTGGACCAGATGGTGGGCCAGCCCGACATCACCCCGCTGGTGCCCGTGGCTTCCTTTCCCGCCGCTGGGAGGGTGGCCCAGGAGGGCCCCGGCGTGGCCAACGGGGCGCAGGAGCCGCCGGTGCTGCCCCTGGGAGGGTCGGAGCAGGGCAGCTACAGCTGCTTCAGGTGCCTGGAGTGCAAGGAGCAGTGCAAGGACAAGGCCGGGCTGGCGGCGCATTTCCAGCAGCAGCAGCAGCAGCAGCAGGGAGGGAGCGCCGGGAGCGCCGGCAGCACGGTGAGGGACGGGCAGGAAAGGGGGGGAGATGGTGGGAGGGTGGGGGGAGGCGGTGGGAGATGTTGAGAGGGTGATGGAAGACAGGGGGAGGGGGGGGGGGGGCGGTGGGAGATGATGGGAAGGCAGTGGGAGATGGTGGGAAGGCACTGGGAGGGCAGTGGGAGGTGGTGGGAAGGATGGTGGGAAGGCACTGGGAGATGATGGAAGGATGGTGGGAAGGCACTGGGAGATGATGGAAGGATGGTGGGAAGGCACTGGGAAGGCAGTGGGATATAGTGGGAGGTGGTGGAAAGGCACTGGGAGATGATGGAAGATGGTGGGAAGGCACTGGGAGATG